CCTTTATTCAAAGATGCTCGAAGAGTGAGCTGCGGTTAAAAAGTTCATTGCAAGGCACTTGAAGTGTGGCCGTCTAAACGAAGTTCATTCTTCGACGCCGGAAGTTATTGCTGCTGTTGTTGTGCAGTCCCGCAGCGAGAGGAATAAATAACTCCGCAACAGCATCAATACAAAGTGTGGCGTGTAGACTGTACAACAGCAGCAGTAATAGTAGTAATAGGAGTAGATGTAATAATAAACATAATAACCTTAGCAGTGTAAATAGAAACAGCAGTAATGATGATTATGATGATAATGAAGAGAAGAATCGTATAGACACACTGCTTTCTACTCACAAACTTCTAAAAACAAGGCGGTGGGTGAATGTGGAGAGTAATCGCTATCTACACGAACAACAGAATTATACACACTCTGTACGTGAAGTAGGTAATATGCTCGCATCTCTAAACCGTAATGAAAAACATATTCCTATCAAGATGGAAACGTTTATTCGATCACTTCATGGGGATGCACTTGTATCACTATTGGAATATCTTGCCATTTACCAAACACATTGCCTCTTTCAGTATACAGAGAGAAATAAGAGTGAAAAACAAAAAGCCTCATATCTATGTGAACTTTTGTTTGTAGCTCTTATAGATCGAATAGTGGAGTTATCTTCTAAACATGTTGCATTTATTGTTTCTCTTTGTAATGCCGCCGGTATTATTTCTCCAGCATTTTATTTAATTCTCTATTACAGTCGACAATCGTTAAGACGAACACAAGCCATACAAACCTTACGATCTATATGTACAATCTCTACTGGGGATATCTCATCTCCCATGATTTATCACTCTTTTCCAAATATGATGTCCGCTGTATCTATACAAGTTGCCGCGTTAAGTTTTCTTCTCATACGTTGTATGGAATTGGAATCCACATTAGAGGGATACGACACTGGTCAAATACTCTGTCGTGCACTTATTCGGTATTTTGGAAGTGTACAGCCTGATGTTCGCACAGCTTGTCTATGGAGAGCTCGAAAAATGATTCGAAAGCAGCAATATAGTAGTGAACCTGTTAATAGTAGTAATAATAGTAATAATAATAAGCTTATGGAAAGTAATAGTTCATTTCCATCAGAATTAGAATTAATACTGGCTGAAAGTTCATCACCACAGAAAACATTTGCAGCCATGGAAGAGGCAAGTCGATCATTAACTTTAATTAATGTTGATACCGCTTATCTACGATCACTAATCTTGAGAAATTCCGTTACTAACCACAACAAAAAGCAATGGAATGTTAATAGTACTCCTGAAGTAGTCTCAGTTGATCACATCGTTAGACTTCATCAACAATTACCATTAGTAGAGAAACTTCATGGAGAATTAAAATTATCCACCATAGAAGTTTTATCTCAACGGGTGATGGAGTTATCTCATTTGCAGGATGTGGTTAGTCTTGCTGAATCTACTATTCGTTACTGCCCTTTACTATCTCCAGTACTTTTACATCGTATCCTACAACTATCGTGTATTGAGGAAAGTAATGAAACTGCAGAAGCATTTCAATCTACATTGACAGCACTTTATCGTTTACTCCCTCATGTTGATATTCTAGATGTCTTGGAAAGTGCTATTGTATATGGCACTTTAACAGGAATTTCAACACGTAAGTCTGTAAATGACGAGAAAATGACATCTATATCTCTTAGTTTTGTAAAATGTCTGGCAATACATGTTCCAAAGCAATTAGTTCCTACTTTATTTCATCGTCTTTTTCGCCAACGTGAATTAGCAGCATTTCAACTCCCTACTTTTTTACTCCGAGTACTTTTAGAAGTACTGGAATCTATAGATTTGGATTCTCTTTCAACGGAAGATGTTAAATGTATTCAACTCTTTCTACAGCAAGAGCGGCGGAAACTAGTTCCATGGTGTACGCAGAAGGAAGAAGAAATGATGAATAATAGTCATCTGTTAATGGATGCTATTGAAAAGGCTGCAACCCTGCGGACCCATAATATATTTAATGAAAGTAATACTACTACTACTACTACTATTGGTACTACTAGTAATAATAATAGTAATAGTACTAGTGCTATTACTATGAATGCTGATCAACTTTCTCTTTCTATTGAACCAAAATCATCGGATAATACAATGAGTGTTGTTAAAAACGCATTGACATCTATTTTTGGTGTACGAGCGGCGATATTTGTAACAGCTGAAACTGCACTACAACACCGCAAATCACTTTCATGGTTATATGCTATGTATCGTATCTCCGTTTCTCTGCTTTGCGAGTTGGAAGCTTTCAAAGCGTTAGCCCTTTTTCAAGGGAAACAATTACACATTAATGAGAAACAATGCGCTTTGGTACAGTTGTCAGAATCTATTGAAGATGATAATCTTCTAGAAAAAGGAGATGATTTACAAACATCAAATTATGTGTTACATGAAGGGGAATTACGTTCATATATTGAGCAATGGCTCTCAGATGATACAAAGGAAAGTAGTTTACTGAAACAACTGATTTCTTTGGCTTCTGGTGATGATATAACTTCTTCGTTTATTAGTTATGCTGCGCTCTCTCGTCATGATATAGGTGCAATGAATATGATTCGACTTCATTCATGGTCTTCTGCAGTAGTATTTGATCGGGAAAGAATATGTAATAATAATTGTGTATACTCTCAACCTCTTCAAAGGTGTGAAGAAGGTGAGGAAATATCTACCGATGTTTCTGTTTCTACTGTTGGTAATGATGGTAATGATGTTGATAATAAGCATAACATACCTCTTTATAAAGATATTATTGCTATATCCAAGTCTGCCCTTCATTTCGTGGAGTTGCAGTGGAGTGGTAAAGATTATCATCCACCTACTGCTGTTAACACAGTGTGTCTTTGGGCTTACGCAGATCTTGTTGTGTTAGAGAAAGATCCCACCATGAGGTTAAACTACTATGAGGCTCTTCTTCGTCTCTGTAAGTCTGAGAAGGATGTAATGTTTCTACAGCAGGCACCTTCTAGTATTCACCGTGATGTTTTTGCATTTGCTGGTGGAAGGGGAATGTGGCAACAGGGAATTGAATTGATTCGTCTCGCAGAAAGTGTTTCAAAGGAATTCCAACTTCCTCCAGAGGTATATGGACAAGTCATGCGGGCATGTTTAATGCATCGCGTACCAATTCCTTCTTTTCTGCGTGAACGATTTGAGAACATTACTAATAGGTAAATTAATTGTACTACACATGATGGTTACTGTTATTATTATTTATTTATTTTATTTTATTTTTTTTTATTTTTGCAGTTTCTATTTCTTTCTCTCCCCCCCCCTCTCTGTTGCGGTGTTCTTATAGTTGTTGTTTTGTTGTTATTCCTTTATTTCTATTCATGTGTATCTTATTGTTTTGTTCTCTATGCGGCAGTGAGGGACAATACCTATACTATCCCCCCTCTTTACCCATTTCTCATATTCCACCCTTTCTTTCTCTTTCTCTCTACATGTGTGTATATTACGGGTAGTGGTAGTGGTGGGAGGTGATGTCTAATGCGGCTATTTATGAGCGAACGCACATTCTCGTCGGTGATGAGGGGTTGGAGCGACTGCGGGCCGCAAATATTTTTCTCGCCGGCGTCGGTGGTGTTGGCGGGCACTGCGCCGAGGCCCTCGTGCGGGGCGGCGTCGGTCGTCTCACCATCTGCGATCACGACGTGGTTTCCAACACCAATAAGAACAGACAACTCGTCGCTTTAGACAGCACCGTAGGAGAGTCTAAAGTTGCCGTCCTCGCACGGAGATTACATGATATTAACGCCCACTGCAGCATCACGGCATTAGAGGCACTTCTGCTCCCAGAAGACGTGGAGGATATTCTCACACGACAAGCATACGATTACGTGGTGGACTGCATTGATAGTGTGGAGTGTAAAGTGGCACTTCTCGCAGGGGCGGTGCGGCTCGGTATACGCACCTACACATCCTGCGGTGCCGGCAGTCGACTCGATCCTTCACGCGTCACTACCGGCGATCTCTTCGCGACTGAAAACGACGCCCTCGCGCGCTGCTGCCGTAATGAATTGCGAAAACGCGGTGTGCGGCCCGGCAGCATCATCGCCGTGCACAGCACAGAGACAGCGCGTAAACCACTTCAACCGCAGCGGCAGGAATCCGGTGGACGTGATCGCGCCATTAACGGAACGATAAGTTACATGCCGCCGCTCTTTGGACTGTTGCTCGCCGCAGCGGTGATGCGACATGTGTTAGATCCCGCACAGCAGGAAAAAGAGTTCAAGCAGCAACTCAAGAAGATATTAAAGAAGGAGAAGAAAGAGGAACTTGAGCGGCACAACAACAGGAACAGGAAGGATGATAAGGATAAGCGGTCCAAACATGAGTTGAAGGAAGAGGCAAAGTAAAGTACTATACAATGCCAGTGATGGAAAGAAAAGGAGAAAAAAGAGAGAGAGAATGTATTGATGTGTTTTTTTTTTTGTTTGTTTGTTTTGTTTTATTTTTTAGACTTTTCTCTATGATTATTATTATTGTTATTTTTCTTTTTTCTTTTTTTTTTTTGTCTTGTGTCATCATCATCATCATCAGAAATAGCTGTATTAAATTGACGACGCTGCCACGTAACGATATGAACGTAAACCTACAGAAACAGTATGAAGAAGAAGGACAAGGAGAAGAAGAATTACAACAACATCAACAAGAACAACAGCATCGGGCTATTTGGGGACGTCTTGCTATTGCAGAAGTTCCTTATCCCATTATCGCGGCGGATGATGTGGTGATAAGTCTTTACACAAACAGACTTTTATTTCGTGTGGCCTCCTCAACGTTTACAGTAATAGTTTTTCTTCGAGATGTGGTACGAATAGTATTTTTTGCAGAAGTAAACGGTATTGAATTACAAGTGAAACGAGAGGATGGTGGTTATCGTTCCTACATTACTACTTTTCGAGAACCTAATGCTGCTCTTATGTTGTATGATGTGATGCTACCGCTATTACCATCCCATGTGGAAGATAGTTCCCTCGCACAGGCCGTTACTCCTTGTATATATACTACAGATTACCCATTCTCACTACTTTCCTCATGTACGATGAAAGAAGCCGGATTCTACGAATTGTGTCCACGTAATATATCTCCGCTAGAGGGAAGAGATATTGCAAAACATCTCTTTTTTCCCCCAGAACACCATTTTTTACTCTCAAACGAGCCACCCATAATGGCACCGTTAAACACTGCACATCCATCATTATCGTCTTCCATATCATTACCACTCTCTGCACCATCACTGAAACAAGAACAACCAGATTTAGTTATGAGAGAGAATTTCAAACAACCATCTCAACATGTTGAGAGTCTTCAAAGAGATTCTGAGGATGTGAGAAGAAACTCTTTGCAGATTCCTGTAACAGAGGTAAAAGATCTTGAAAGTTCCCAAGATGAACCGCGACTTGTAACGTATGATGTGATAACGGGTGAACTAAAAGATTATGAAGATTACACTCATAATGACTTCACACCATTGTCAGGAGGTAGCGGTACAGTAGTAGACAATATTACTCCCATCTCATATTCACAATCACATCCATCACCAGGACCACAACCACAATCAAGTAATGATTTGCTTCCGACCAGAGGTCCCTCTGTTGGGATGCGAAGTACAACATCTGGAGCACTTCGTATTCCCCGTGGTAGTGAGACCTTTAGTTCCTCTTCTCCTGCTGTTGCTGAAGCCGCAGTAAAGAGAACATCAGGAGGTATTCTTATGCCAGAATCCCGTTCTGTTTCCGCCTATTCACATTGGACTGGTGTAGGCACGACCTCAGCGCCAATGCGCCTACCACGACAGAGTTCTAATGCGTCATCTAATGATCATGTGTTTCATATTTTGGTGAATTACGGCCCCACAGAACAGTTCTGAATATCATAGTTAGGATAAGTTCATGGAAGAAAGAAAGAAAAAATGTCAATTATATCTCTTTTTAGTATTACCAAAGATTTTATGTGAGGTTTTTTTTTTTTTTTTTTTTTTTAATTTCTAGTTTAGTTACTTTTACTATCGTTTTTTTTTTTTTTGGCTATTTTTGTTTTTAACTTTGCTTTTATTCTTTATATGTATCCTTCAGTATTGTGTGAAAACATAAGAGTGCGACGCATTTACATGTACACAGAAACAGAAGAAGAATAAGAAGAGGGAGAGGAGTCGTAAAAGGAAATGTTTTCTATGTACTCAGTAGTGTATTACCTTTGGTTGTATTTTTATTTTTTATTTTATTGTCCCATCTGCCATATTTACACTGTTCCTTTGATGATGATGATGATGATTATTATTATTACTATTATTATTATTTATTTCTTCTTTCTATTGATATCACTTATTTGTTTTTATTATTATTTTTTTTTTCTTATTTTCTACAGTTGTGAAAGAGATTTGCACGGAATAAGAGCTTTAGACTCCTATTACAGATTCAAATAATTACATCTGTGGACCAGCACTTTACGAATCATGCGGCTAGTGCCACTTTTACTATCTCTATTGCTAATCCTAAGTGTTACTACATTGTACACTATTTCTGCTGCTCGTCTCTCCATTGATGATATGGAAGAAGGTGGAAATATTGATGATCAATATGTGGATAGGGTGGAAGATAATCATCCTGTGCATAAATTACTACCGGATCCTCAAGATCCAGAGATGCTTCCTTCTCTTAAGTGCTCCGCCTGCGGTGCTGTGATTGAGGAAGCGATTCATTTAATGCGTCCAGCTATTGTGCGTTATCTGGAACGCAGAAGAAGAGATGCTCAAAAGGGAAAAGACACACAAAACGATAAAGGACCGTCTGAGTATGAGACTGTGGATGCGTTTGAGAAGTTGTGTCGTCGAGTCTCCATGGATTACGCATTGGAGATGAAATCTGAGAAGGTTCCATCGTTGTTCTTTACAAAGTCTAAGGCCTCACAGCGGGTGCATGGCGGTTGGATGCCGTTTTTTCTTTCCTCCACATGTGAAGAACTGGTGGAAGATGAGGAAGACCGACTGAGAACTGAGATCTTCGCAGCTGCAGTAGCAGAGGAAAAAGAAATATCAGTTGCTCATATGGATTTCTTAACGAGAATTGCATTAAGAGTCAGACAGTCTATATGTCCACAGTGGTCACGGTCTGCAAAAGGGTGCGATCCTCGAGGATTCCCGATTGATCCAAGAAAACAACCATTGGATGATCTGTAATGGAGACTCTTGAAATAATTATGTATGTGAATCAGTCTTTTTTTTTTTTTCTTACTTTTGTTGTGCGCCATTTCTTGTTAATGGTCCTTTTTTACTGATTTTTTTTTTTTTTTTATTTGTATTGCTTTGG